TGATAATTTGTAATTACTAATTAGTAGTAAAATAAGCTAGAAAATAGTTTGATTTTAGATCATATTAATTACTACAAGACTGTGTAAAAAAATATATACATGTGTTTTACTACATTTAATTATTAATTTTATCCAATTATAGAAATATAGAATATGATTTTACATTAAAACGTCCACTCATCTATACTGCAATGTTTTTAACTAAATAGTAATAAAAGGTTATAAGCTCATTAGTATAGTATTGTAGGTGAAGTATTTTAGAGAAAAATAAAAATATACAAATGTTAAGATATTGATGGCAGATATAATATCGACTATCTAACATATTAGTTGTAATTTATAAATACAATATTTAGATACTACTAATAAAAAAAAAAAAATATTTGCTTTTGTTTCTAAAATACTTAATACTCTTATTCAAGTGAATAGTTGGTACAAAGGTTATCAATTTTTTCCCCACAATGTGAACACGTGAGCAAAAAAAAAAAATTAAGTTCTATCATACAACCATGTTTAGTTAATGGATAAATACTTTACATTTGTATTTATGAAAAGAGTTCCATTAACGCGCATAAATATATGTGTAAAATAATAACTGTCAAATAAATCGCATTTAAATTATTTCATTGCCAGTTGGTTGCTTCGTGTAGACAATATTATTTATTATTATACATTTGTAGGTATTTGCACGCGTCTAACATCATGAGACATTACACAATTTATTTTATTTTTTATGTTCGTATCAATGTGGAATTATATAGAACATAATCATTATACAGACAGTTCCACATAATAATATGGAGGCACAGATTTTATTTCGAATATAAAAAAATATAATGCATAGCTGTACACGCAAATTTTCGGGAAAAAGAATATGATGTAATAATTAAAGCGTCTCATTATGGGTGGGCAGTTGTAACGTTGGCGTGCGGGTGGTGGGGGAGGCTGTTACACAATTGTAGTCGTCGACGAAGACGCGTAATCGCGCTTACATGTCACACATAATATACTGTGTATAATAACAATATACGCGATAACAATATTAAAACAGTGTTGCGTACTGGACACACCTCCACTGAGTATATTATACATCTATAGAGAGATTTCCTTTCATAACTATAACAATAATAATGTAGGATCAGTAGCGCACACTGAGGTATAATTATTGTAAGGACGACTGGTTATTACTCCAGGCCATATTTAAATCGGAAACTGGAAATTATCTGAAACGTACATGGATTATCTCTAATTAGAAAAAAAAAATGATATTATAGTAATATATTATACAATGTGCTATTTAAACAATTTATGTCTTATCGATCGATCGTGACGTTTTTTGATTGTTTATTCGTATAAAAAGGATTTCGATACTAAATGTTATGGAAGTACAGCTATACACGAAAAATGTACTGTCATAATGATAATTTATAATATATGACACACGATGCATTATAATTTATATCATTGAACTGTACACTCGAAATTTCTTTTATAGTATTGTTCGGTATTGTATAAGAAAAATAATAATTTAATGTTCAATTTATATATAATTACAATGAAATAAAATAAGAGATAATAACATAAGTATTAACGCGGAAGGAATAGAAAGAAAACATTTGTGTGCATACTAAAATATTTTAAATCTTATATTTGATATGTATATTTAATATTAATTAATAAAATTATCTATAATAAATAAAATGATATAATAGGATATAGGAACATAATTATAATTTTCGAATGTAACTATGCGCAAAATGCAAATATTTATAAATATTTTATTTTTTTGTGCATGTTTAATATATTATGGACAAGTTGGAATGAATTAATAACATAGGTCCAGTTAAAAACTATTATTATTCATATTTTATTCGTCTACACATCATAATATTACATTCTAAGTACGTATCTAATTTCACTTTCATCTTCACAACCTATAATAATAATACCTAATTACACTTTTAGGCACTCTAATATTATTTTATTGCTGCAGTGATATTTAAATAAAATGCTTATTAAACATAACAAATATAAAAATAACTTAGAATTTCGGTTTATGAACGTAATATGTGTATTTTACCATCGTAGAAAATAGTAACACATAGACACGATAATAATTTATCAAAAATGCATTACAAATTATGTTATTAAAACATATTTATAGAATAATCATTTGAACATTTTCAAGCTAAAACTAAACATTCTTAAAACCTTAATTATTCAAAAGTACACTTATTTCAGCCGAAAACGGAAGAATAAAAAAAAAGTCTTACAAATAAAATATAATTATAAGGTTATTAAATAAGATGTATACACAAAGTAATTTTTTATTACCGTAGGGTAAGTGACAGATGAAGATATAAGTTATTAAATATTTTTTATAGTATAGGAAGTACAGAAATTTAAAAATATTTCTTTATAACATATTTTGTAGTTATCATATTGCTATAATATTATGTTATTTATTTTTGTTGTTTATTTTCTTAAACACAAATATAAATTTAAAATATATTAATGTAATTTTTAAGTTCACCTTTCAAAACAGGTTAGTAATGCAAATAAATCGCGTTGTTTATTTTTATGAAAAAAAAAAAAGGACGATAATAATAAGCCCACTATAAATTTTGTTACGAAAATCAAGCTATGAAATACATTTTTATTTATACATAGATTGAATTAACAGAATAATTTTTATTAAAGGTAGGATTTTTATGATTTTACATATTTGTTTTTAATGTATGCAGTAAAATGGGAGTAAGATATCATTATGATTCATGAAACACAGAATTCATAGGTATAAGTAATAACTTATTATTTATATTAAAGTTAATTATGGTAATATAAAATATCAATTAATGACAGTACGTAAATCAAAAGTTAATTGATTATAGTGGCGTATTAAATATAGGTATCGATTCTACAGTCTTACTAGTCTTAAGTACCATTTAAAATATAATAATACACTAATATGTAACGTAAAGCTTATTAATAAACTTTAAATTGATTTAAAATATAATCGAAAAATGTCGAAGTATAGATACTGGATTAAAATCACAATCAAAAGATAATAAATTGTAAAAATTAATACAATTTGAAGTAGAAAGTACTATTGTGAAGCGTAAAAAAATTGCAGTCGAAAATGATGACAAATTTGTTTTGAAAGCACTTAAATATATTACGGTTTAAGTTCACGGTTAGTATTACGATTGACTATGAAATCACATTATTTTACGCCCAAAAAATTAATAGATTACCTTGTGTTCTAAAGCCCGTATATTTGGCGAGTATAGTAGGTATAAAGTGAGGTTTTTTCCTGGTTAAATTTTTTTTTTTTTTTAACATTTATTTTAATATACACAATCTGTAAATTTTGTATCTGGTTAAAATAAAAATATAAATTCTATGGAGAGGATTATGTTCAGTTTATACTACCTAAGTAACAATTATCACACGAATTTTTGCTAATAAATAGTATTATAAAAATTAAAACGCAATGCAGTAAGTGTTAGATACATCTATAAACTTTAACAACAATAATTATTATAATAGTATTTAATACTATTTACACATTAAGTTTGTACAGAAAATGATAAACCACTTAATTATTTATTCTTTATAAAGTTAAAATTATATTAAAGTATACTCATGATATTATTTAAGGTGGTTAGACAGTGCTTGATTTGGCAAAATTAAAGTAGAGGGATTCTGTTGACTTTTAAAAAAGAGCGTCCCTATTACTTTTTAAATGTTACTGAACCGTGAGGGCTACGCTCTCACACCCCCTTATACCCCTCTTTAAAACATATAAAAAATATTTATAAATTATAATTAAAAAAAATAAAAAATACTGTGAATATTACATCGTATATTATAGTTATCCCTTACAAAATGTAACAACAAACTTAAAAATAACTCTAAATATAAAATTTTAATAAGTTACTGAGTGTCTGAGTAACTATTGATTACTTGCTTTTATCTGTTTTTTAAAAAAACGAAAATATATTACCTTGTGATTTCTTTTTTTTAGCCATCGTATAAATACAAAAAACAATTGTTTATTCGTATATAATATATAAGATGACAAATATCAATTACTTAAGGTACTATTCAAGTAGTAAGAAAATAAGACAGTCACAGCCTTACAAAATTAAATTTAAAAAATAACAATCTTTAAATCTATAAAAATTGATAATAAATATTAGTGAATAATGATAACAGTGGTAATTGATAATATATTTTATAAGTTATCACGGTCTGTAAGTTATAAAACATGATTAAAGTTAATTATCTATGGTAAGAAAAATTATGATGTTATAACGTGAATTTTGATAAAATTGAAGAATGATGCAGAGTCCTTTTGTCCCGTACGTTTCCCTTAAAAATATAAGTAGAGGTACGCTAAAATTTCTGAAAAATTAGTTGGGGTACTCCATCCCCCTGCGACCCCTCAAGTCAAGCACTGTGGTTAGATCAATAATAATTAGTCTTCAGTATGACGTATATGGCATGAATCGTCAAGATACTGACGACTGATATCTATATTACGGTAAGCATATCATGGGAAGACAATATTCATCGCTGTAAGAATAACAAATATATTTAATTTGTTTTTTCCTTAATAATGCTTAATGGTAATTTTTAAAGCTGCTATAATGATTGCTACCTGGAATATTTTATTGAATAGGTTTAAAATCTTTTTGGAAGAGACTGAACCTTTATAGCCTTCACTTCCATAAAGCATATTAATCAATAAAGCTCTTGTTTATCGATAACAGAATAGAGTCTAAAAACAACACCTGAGAAAAAAATGTTTTCAGAATGAGTTATCATTAATAACGTATACGCGACGAGGTACGTTGATGGTATTTCGACTTAAAGTCACAATGTGACTTCACAGATATACTAAATATTTATATTATGGTTATAAGTATAGAGAGTGTACTATAACTATGGTTTGTAGAAATATGAACATGCTCATTCGTAATATATAATATAATATGTTTAATAAGAGTTAAAAACTTTATTTATTGCTTTGAAATATATAGAAGATAATACAATATAACAGTGAGGAAAAAGTTATGTACAAAAAGAAAACACACATAATAAAAATAAAAAAATACACGTACAATATATATAAATATATATAGAGAGAGATTATTTCCGGCGGAGTCAGTGGCGGCGATGATCGTATGCGGCGGCGTCAGTCATTATACGACTACGGCAGGGGCGACGGCGGGCGCCACAACTGGCACGTCTTTTTGGACGACAGCGTTGAATCCGTTGATGTCGTCGGCGTAATAGTTGACGGTCCTGCGGCTGCCGTCGGGTTCGATCAGGCTGTAACGGCCTTTGACTATGTCACCGTCGCGTACTTCTTCCTGGTCCTTGGCGTCACCGGTCAGCGAGTCCCGGACAGTGTACGCGAATTGGTATTGCGGGTAGGAGTCCGCGAAGTCAAGCTTGGCCACAGCGGGCGCGGCAGCCACGGGCAACGGTGCGGCGGCCACGGGCAAAGGTGCTGCTGCGCGAACGAGTGGAGCGGTGGCCGGAAACGGGGCGGCGGCGAAGCGGGCGGCAGGAGCCGGGAACGCTTGCAGCGGAGCCGCTACGGCACGAGAAGCAGCTGGTAATAGTGGAGCCCTGAATGGGTAAGTGGCATAAGGATAAGCCGCAGGCGTGGCCGAGTACGGCAATAGTCCTGGATAGGCATATGGGGCTGGGGCGACGGCGGGTAGTACGCCAGGTTCGCAACGGCCGACGGCTGCCACAACGGCTAAGACCAATGAAGACTACGACAAGGAAAACACAAATCGATAAAATTTGTAAAAATATGGCGCACCGACAGTAATCGTTGACGAGGTCTGTCAGTCGCAAAACATCACAATAATTGCATCACTACAATACGGGTACTTACCTTGATGAATGCCATTTCTTCGATGATTTTTTTGTTCTGTTACTGCGACGGTGACGAGACTGTGCGTGTTGTTTTTCGGAAAAGACCGGATTAACTCGAGAGTCGGATTGAATGTGATTGACAATGGTCATCGGCGACGTTTATATAGTAGTCCGCGGACGCCCCCACAAAGCGTTATTTTCGCTTTGCCCCTACGCCATAGATTCGATGATCGAATACGACGACGGATATCGTGCCACCCACCTGTAATCGACAGCAGACAAGGGCCGTTTGCCAAGTGGGTGAGGGGAGAGGACCGTGTCGTAACGGAGACGTGGCCACGCGACCAGAATGCCATATCAGCCCCGGCGACGGAACAACGGTTCAATCTAATAATATAATAGTATAGACGCGACAATGTCCGGCGAGTATAATTGTATGCGGGTCATCGAGTCTTGGTCCGAGTCCAATCCGATCCATATACCTACGACCAGACCGATCGAGGTGTGTACGCGGCGAAAGTGAAACCTCCGCATGAGTGTTTCGGACAGTCAGTCGTCATCGTCCTTGGAAGGACGCGTCGAAAACCGTCCTGCGGACTTGCACGTCACCGCCGTCAGGGAGACTTCGACGCGGCACATAATATATTGACGAACACGTGTGTTCGATAATATGTTATGTATACGTGTTCGTTAAGTATTGTTATATTCTATGCATCCAACTCGTTGTCGAGGTTAACATTTATCGTCGTAAATCTTTCCGTTAGTTTGAGAGATAACGAAATCAAACAGTTTAATATGTGATAAAGTTACACCGGAGACAGATGTAATAAGAGGCAAGCAATATGAGGACTGTAGATAATATTTGTCTTAGGAGTTATACACATTTCTCGTTTATTAGGTAATAAATAAAAATGTGCAGATTGCACACGTCTATTAGCTTTTCTAATAATAATTTCAATATCTTAAATGCTTATCGTATTTATTTATTTTTTGAAACTATGACTATTTAATTTATACTCTTGCGTTTATTAAATGTGTTTATATCGTTTTCAGCTTAGAGCAGATACTCTTGGTAAATCTCATTTCAATTTTAAATGTACGGCTTAAAGTTGTTATATTATACTTATACATGACAAATAAAAGAAGGTATAACAAATAAACCTACTCATAAGACATGGGTGTCTGCATTCAGTAAATAATAAGTGTCCATTTTCACATCCAGTGTATCATATTGATTTAAAGTTGTTAAATTTAAATTTAATAACTTAAGTTCTTTTACTATAATTAATTTTACTTTTTAACAGTCATTCGAATGATAATTTTCTGCGTATAAATTCACATTACACAAATTCTTATTTTGTTTAATGTTTTTTTTTTTATTATTATTATAAATTGGTGATATATCAAATAAAAATGAAAACTTAATTTTTAATAAGTTTTTTAGTAAGTTTTCATTTATAAGTTTATCACATATTATAATGGTAACGTATGTATATCTATACTTAATCAAAATATTTGAATATTTAAATTAATTAGGCTATTAAAATATAACATGATGATTAATAAACAGCGATTGATTGTTGCGAACTTCATGATATTTCCGTGAATTTCCGTCAAGTTACGTTTCCGGAAATTACCAAACCCTAGTGGTTTAGTCTAGTTCCCTCTTTTTTCTTTTCTAGATAAACTATATCGTGTAACGACCAAGTCAATAATTATGAAAATTATTAAGTTGATATAATATGCCTCCCTCTTAAATCGTAATAATTATACTGGAAATGGGTTGTGTGATAGGAGAGGGCAATGACAGCCCCCGAAATAACTGAATTTCAAGGTTAATATCCGGATAAACTGCGACCCCGATAAAATATAGTACTACGATTTAAGTGGTTCAAGATCGTGCGCGAGCGTCTTCGACACGGTGATGGCGGTGATCACATCGTCACGCGCGCGCAAAACGGAATAAGTTGCGAAACTCCGAAATAGAAAACGCCCCTTAGAATTGTATGTCCATCACGTAGTATGCATATTATTTTAACTTTGTACATGCGATCGTAATTATTGTTGCGTGTGTCCATTTCTGTGCATACGTCAACAATAATAATATATGTTGTCAACTGCGCTGCAACTCTGACCAGATAGGTGCCGTAACAATGCGATTTCGATTGACAAGAAATAAATTAAATTATAACGTTTGCCAAAGTGGATTTCGTCCAGACGGTTTAGAAACACATCATATCATACTTGTTTGTTCGAGTTCATTATAATATAAAGCGTGTCAGTCGCGGTTGGAATTCCGCTCCTGTCGTCCGTTTTTTACTACGTCCCATCATACAATATGTTGGTGTTTTTTTTTAAATTATATAACTTGCATGGATGGTAAGCGCTGCTGACTGAGTGTGTTGTCGTTAAGTATTAAAGTCTTATATGCGTCCCTGTCCGTCAAGATGCATTTGTAACGCTATTTAAGTGTAATAAATTATAATACCAGTCATCTTCAGTATGATTACATATAATGCAAAATGTATCCACTGACTTGGCAATTAAATATGATAACCTTCATTTGTAAAAAACTTTATGGATTTACAGTATTATAATTTCATTCTTACAACACTAATTCTGATACACCTAGGTTTCGGGTGTTGTTCGGACACGATGTATGGTTGTTCGATGGACGGGATCAAACCATAAACAAGAAATTTTACGTTCGAATCGATCTAAAATTAGGTATTTTAACACGCACTCGTCAGTTTTCCATGTATGAGCACCATGAGCGTTGCATTAAAATTTGAATCGGCCGTATAAATGTCCACCAAATTATAATTAGGTATAATAAGTAAAAAAACGATCGATATTTGTATGATAAGGTTAGATTACCGTTCAAAATTAAACTCAAAGGATCACACAGAAAATATAATTTTCGATCACCTTAGTTATAATTTTTTACCATCAGAAAAAAAACCTAGGGTTGATGTTATTATAGACTATTTGAGAACACACGTTGCACATTTTTTAAATGGTGACATGCGTGTATATGCATTGCACGAGTATTATATAATATTTGATATGACAAAGGTGTAGTTAAAATTATTGCTAAATAGCGTACGCGCCTAAGAAAATGGACTTCCGCGTCAAAAGCCTCGGGGTGAGTTTAATACAATATTATATTACGAGTATGATATGTTGTAATCAAAATTGTGTTTATACGGTGTATTAGCTGATATATAGTTCATAATATTATATATACCGTATGTGATATGGCAAAAATTACGTAGGTGTCAAATATCCCCAAAGGCCTTTTGTATTAAACGATAATACGCGTACACAAATAATTGTGTAATTTCAACTGAATGTTAATATTTCATTTTTATTTTCTTCTTGCATAGTTAGCTTTAATAAGTCTTGCTTTACTCAAATATAATGCAAAAATAATGTATCCAAATCTATATTCTATAATTTATATCCGAAAATATATAAAATTAGACATTCCATATTTTTGACTATACGTGCAAACGTTTAAATATTTTATACTAGATAATGTGTAAACCAATTCGTTCAGATCTTACAATTAAATTTATGGGTTGCGTTTTGTTTCAATAACTTACATTAAATTAATGTGAAAAAATTAGAATATTGTATGCTATAAAATATTGTGTACTCGTGTACTCATTTTATAGATGGAACGCAATAGAATATAATTATTACTTAATACATGTATAAATTATCTAATTTTGATCGAATATTAACATATTTTTAAAAACCTATTTTTTTAATTTTATCACTCATATATATTTTGTAAATATCAACATTTGTTTATCAATTTATTAATCGTTTGACATAGCTTGGGTTGGAAGCATGCCGTTAATATAAACAATATTAAAATAAATAAATGTTATGCTTATGTTTGAGATTAAATTTAATAAATAATAACTAAGGCTAATAAATAATTTCGATTAAAGACAGGTTAGAAAAATAATTTGATATCTAAAAAGAATTGTAGTGTTGACCGAACTTGTTTTAAATTGGAAAAGGACTCGTTCCACTCCAACATAATAATATACAATAATACTAAATAACTACATTTTTTTGATAAGAAAATATTCCATATTTTAATTTAATATTACACAAATCATTTGCTACATGCTGGTATGTAGAACACGCATTAATGCATTAATAAAATATTATAAAAACAAGTGTCAAAAAATGTATTCGAGAGCGCGATTATATATATTAAAAAGTTGATTTCCTCGAAGTCACATCTTGGCATAAGAATGCTCACAAAAAGTATACATCTTTAAGTAGTTAATAGAGGTGTAGTCCTTATTTTATATTTATTAAATTATAACGTACAAAATAATATACGTTGTTACGTGCCAAATCTACATATTAAAGCTATTAAGTTTCACAAATTAATATTAATCATTTATAAAATGAATGTCAATAATATGATCACCAAACAACTAAATATTATAAACATATAAGAATGCTCTTCATACAAAGTTCAACAGAGTCCAAATCTGAAGTCTAAAATACAAATCAAACTAAATAGAAATATTATGAACGTCAATATACATAAAATGATTGTCAAATTTAATATTTATTTAACTATATAAAATTAACAATGAGGTCATAGAGAAATATATTATGAATAAATGAAATTTAAACAGAATTTTTAATAACCATTTAATAACTACGTGTACTTAATAATGATTAATTATAAACAAGAAGAATTTATAATTCTATAATTTTAATTTGATATTCTAAAACTCTATAAACGCTTACAGTAACCAAATGTACCTAACGTAATTATACGCTTACTACTTCAACATTTAATTATGTATTAATATAGTTTAGGCAATTTATATATAAGATATAAGTAAAAGTTATTTGAAATAATGATGAAAACTCTAATAACGATTCATTTGCGGATAATAGGTGTACGTATTTATATATCAAATTTAAATTTTACAAATTGTAATGAAAAAAACATAAACGACAGCATTGTAATATGAATATAATAGTAATATAATATATACGTGAAAAATCTACATTGTATACCATAAATCAATAAAACTTATTTATTTATAAATATTCTAATTTAAAATAACTGCGAAACAGAGTTGTGTATTTAATTAGTAATTAATTAGTTTAACACATTTATTTTACTTTTTAAATTTTTAAAACATAAAAATTCACAACACATTATATAGTAGAGGCATACTTAAAGAAAATCTTAAAAAATTAACCTTATTAAGATGAAAAACTGCATAAATCATAATTAGTACCTACTACCATGTAATGAAATAAAAATAACGCTTTTAATCATGCAGATAAAATAAATATGTATTATGCAACTTATATTTTTCAAATATTATATATATTTTGTAAATGGTATAAAATAATGCTTTTCTTAAGCTAAATAGTAATGATAATAATAAACAAAAATATGGTAAAACTATAACTTGTTTAAGAATTTAATAACTAGTTTAAATAATAACTAATAAGTAAATAGGTAGATGTCAGGCTTTAAAATTGCGTGTACCATGGACACACTTTGTGTAATACAAAAAAATGAAATATTTACCACAAAATTCAAAAATGTTGTGCAAATAATGTTTTTTTTCTATATTATTACTATTCATTTTACATCACTTTTTATAAACGTTTAATTAAAATATAGCAATATAGCGTGTAGTACGAAAAATAGAAAATTTTAGGCTATGGTAGTTTTTTAAATAAGGTTTAAAAATATGATTTACATTTTTTCAAATATGATATAAGTATTATCGATTTAAGGATAATAAAGTTAGCACACTTTAGATCTAAAACAACAATAAAAAAATAATGATAATAATAATAAAATTATCATGCAAAATTACCTTTGAAAACGAATGGTCTTAGAAATATTTTTGCTTAATATTTTGATTCGAAATATAAAGTTTAAATTAAAATAAATTTAAAAAAATTACCGCGATAAAAAACTACATTATTTCTTGTTTATTTATTTATTAACTCTCGCATTATATTATATTAAATATTCGAAAATTCAATATCAGAAGTACCTACCTATTTAACATTATACTATGAACATATTATCATTTTTGTAAAAAAATATTGACTAATATTACGAGTGTTAAGCTGTTTTAAGGCTCAAATCTGTATAATAAAGTATATATTATTACCTTATATTTTAAGTTTAGGTATACTGGACAACGGACTGCTGAAGTAACTTGGAAAACCTGATGATTAATTTACCCTTAGTTGACACTATGGTCGCAGATCATAATCTTTCTCATCAGTCGTCAGAACTGAAAACAGAACGTCAAAAGAAAACGACCGACGACGATGAGGAAGCGCAAACAATGAAAATCAAAGAGGAAAGTGCAATAACATTTCCGTTAGAATACAATATTTTTTATAAACTCGTTTCCAGTCTATTTACCAGACGCCAATCCGTAACAACAACATTACCAACAACAGTAATAACAACAATAACATATCACAATCAGATAAATGTTCGTAACATATTGTATACATAAACATAAGTATACATACAAGATACAAATCATATATATATTATATTAAATAGTAATGTACAGAGTGATCCATTTTATGTAACAGTAAGTCAATTAAAAAAATAAAAAATATTTCATATAACTTGAAGTATTTATAAAGAATATTATTAAAAAAAAACAAAGATCTAATAGTATTCATTTAGTATTTTTTATGGTAAGTAGCTTTTTTTTGTCATATAACAAATATCATAGGGAATCGGAAGCAAAAATACTTTTCTAAAAATGATTATGTATTTATATATTATTATTTCCAATACCATTACTAAAAATATTTAACTTAATATTTTAGCACTATTCCAACCTCTTAATCAAAGGTGTCGGTACTGTGACCCTTCTGAATTAATTGGTAAATAAATTAATTCTTTTGAAAGGTTTTATCACTGTATGACTTCCCTCATTAAGTATTCATATGTAATTTTCTATGATATTATATAATGTTCTATTACCAACTCATTTACTCATTAATTATTGTATTAGACTATAAATACAAATTATAAAATTTTGTTTAAAAAAAAAAATTACATGAAAACATTTATTTAAGTATAAAAGCTATTTAAGTGTAATCAGTTAAACAGACCATCCTATACGTAAATGTCGTAAATACATCTATAGTATACTTATATACCATGTTTCGCAGGATAATTAAATTGTACATGTTCACGCTGCTTATATATATATTTAAATATATAATGCTTTATATTTATGGTTGCAAGAGTCGGTGTACCATGTCGTATATTAATAAAACTCTTGATGTGTGCGCGGCGTTATGCTATATTACATTATTCACATAAGCGTGCTACTCGGTTGCGTATTATAATATAATAATAATAATAATAATAATGAGCGGTTTTCACTAAAAAATCTTCCGGTGTCATCTAGCTTAAATAGTCAAGCCATCTGGAATAAGTTTCATTTGGGAAACAGTACTGCTTGTGTTCCGTCCGCCGTTAAACAAAACTATGAAGGGTTCTGCAGTTATAGCGGTAAGCGATTTTCGTTTTATAGAAATATAATATGATAAGTATAATAACATTTTGAGTGTTTAGTCAATTTCATACACAATATAGGGCGTAGCCTTATACTTGTATGATATACATTTTTTAAATTCAGTCTAATCGAATCTAAGCTTGGATTTTCTGTTACGCCGCTCGTCGTTTACTATCCGTTTCTTCGTTTAACCGTTTAAAACGCAGAGAATTATTTTTCTTCGTAAAAATTAATATCAGCATCTAATTAATATAATAGAACACATGACGATAATGTATTCGAGTAAAAAGTGTTGGTTATCCACGCCAAGTACAAAACTGTCTCACTATTTCATGAACTTATAACAATTCAACGATTGCAATATTCATTTTAAAACTGTAAGAATAATTTATAGATTCCTATACCTAAGATTACGTGTTTCGTCGTTATATGTGTTACGGTAAATTTCGTTAGTCTTTTTTGTAAGTAGTGTAAACATCCAGTTTATAAGTAGGTTCGATTTGTTAATTTGTTTCGGAAGAATGTACACACAGGTATTAATAGACGACGATATGTCATATTATGTTTTACAGTCGTGCGTTTTGCTGAGTATGGTTACCTGGTCGCAGTGTTTGCCGTACGGCGGGTACCAACAGCAGGCCCAGTCATTCGGCGCCCACAAACGGTCGTACAACAACTACCTCCATGGGCAACAACAACATCAGGCATTGGACCTGTACAGCCATCACACTTCACAGGCACAGGAGGAACACGAGGACCATCACGAACCGATGAACTACTCGTTCCACTACGACGTGCACGACCCACACACCGGTGACGTGAAGAGCCAGCACGAGACGAGGTCCGGCGACGTGGTGAACGGGTTCTACACGCTGGTAGAACCGGACGGTACCATTCGGACGGTAAAGTACACGGCGGACAAGCATAACGGATTCAACGCCGTGGTGGACCGCAAGAAACCGAACTTCGATGTCGGTTCGTTCAACTACCAGCATTAACATCATCACTACATTTGGCGACGTCCCATACATACCTACACAGACACGGGCACAGTGGCGTGCTCAGCTTTTTTTTTTTAAAGGGGTAGGGATACGAATTTTCGATTATTTTCACGCCACGTCATAACGACAAAAAATATATTTTCTTGCATTGATTCGCAGGTGCTGTACTTAATTATAATAATATACTATTAATCGTGTATAAGGGGAATTTGTATAGTAAGTTACTGATGTAACATCTCGACGTAAATCACAGTGGATTGCGGTAAATATGTTCACCTTAATTTATCGTGCATTTTATTTTCATCAATAAGCTTAACTTATACGAAAAGCTAAAAATTAAAATGAATAGACAAAAAAAAAAAAAAAAAAATGTAAATAGTGGATATTTCACCACTCTCCCCGTATACACACCAATGTGAAGTATCTAAAAACAAAATACTGCATATTGCTTTGCTTGTTGTATGAACAACCATCCGTTACACTAAAACTTACTCTCTCCACCCCCGCTAGTCATTTACCACGTCGCTCATACATTTCAATACATTTTAAATACTTTTATAGCTTATAATATGGATATATTGTGTATAATAATGTTATTAATATAATGTATTTATGTAATATAAAATCCCTACTTTTTAACATGATATACAAATTCTAAATTACGCCGCATAACATGAGAACAAAAATAAAACGATCGTAAGAAGATATTACTTGTGACTAAACCCCTTAAAGTAACGCGATTAGTTATATATTTCTAACAGCATCCTCTGTCTTTCAGATCTTAATCATATTTACATCACGGTTTGCATATTATTTTTCTCATGTTATGTATATTCCTATATATTATAGTTTTTTTTTTTTCATTGTAAGTAATAATAACGTTTTTATCTACTAATTCTAATAACTCAGTTATTTTTTCGATTAAATAATTTTATAAATAATATAAAAATCTTCTCGAGTATACTACGACCGGTAAACACGTTGAGAATTCACAATCCATAAAGTTTATAGTTTATATTACACTTTTTATACTGTATTTTAATTTTTTAAGTCAAGTCAAAACATTACACTTAATTTTTTTTTTTTTTTTCATAAACCTAAATAAAATTACTTAACGTATAGTTATTTATGATAGGATGAAAAAATGTTTTTTTTCGACAAAATTAATTAATATGTAAGAGTTTTGTAACCTTTTTAATAAATATAACTGCGTTTTTTTTTTATAACCTCAGTATACATTTTTTTTATGAGTTACGACAAAATGTATTTGAATCACATAAAATGTATTCGTCTTAAATCACAGCACGTGCAATGTTCATAATATATAGTCACAGCGGATGGTCTTGATAAACTGTTGTCCAAACAGTTACGTAAAAATTCAAGTTTAATATAGATATAATACATCTTGCGACTGAAAGTGACAATCATTCTGAAGTGAGAACGGTTACAGACTCAAATTTTCTCAAAACTATTTTAATATGATCCGCAACAAAATTAACCTCAAACAAATTTTAAATTAGAAATTTGTTTGAGCATAAAATTATCATCAACGACTTTTGATTCGGATACAACGAAATTATTTCGTATGCCAACATGCATTCGATGCATTCGTTAATTCACATGAATATGTAATTCTTGTCCTTCTAACTAAATGGGTAAACAGTCTCATGAGTCATGACGTTTGGTAATTCATAAATTTAGAACTAGTGACGAAATTAATATTTTTTTGAAATTTCCAATGAATTGACCAAAAAATTAATCAGATGGTCTATAAATTACATTAAATGTAGTTAAGTATTAAGCATTATGTAACTTCGTATCAAAAATGTTTATAAATCGTCTTATGAATATAGTGGCTAATCAGTACAGACATGAACAACATAATTATAATAATACAGTTATAAGTTTCGTGTACTTTTCATCCATATAATGATGACAAAATGACAAACAAACAATAAAACAATGCCTATATATAATATATATAACAAACACTTACACTTTATCTTATTATACAAAATATATTTAATAGGTGTTGACACGTGAATTATGGATTCGTATAATCATGTGGAATATATAAGATTTATAAATTAGATATTAATAAATAATATGTAAATTACAAATTATGTACAAGATTTTTTAATGTAGTTATTGTTCTCGTAAATAACTTTTTTTTTTAGTTAATATTTTATCATAAGACTACAGTAATTGAAATTTACAATATTATTTGGTTAATTACTTTTTCTTTAATAGAAAAATAATTTTTAGAGTTGATAAAAGTTTTAAATTCAACAATTTATAAACTTGATTTAGACATGACGTAACTAAGTCATCTAATAGTTTAAGACAAAAATCACTATAGTTTTTATTAAGCATTTAAATAAAGTAATATTTTTGAAGTGTCAAGTAATGGTAGATACAAGTTAAGATCAACACGGTAAAACATTCTGTATTACGTGTATTATTCAACTTATTATCTTTTACGTACTGACGACGACAATATTTTAATTTCATACAACGGAAACTATATTTTCGCAGTAGTTGTAACGTACCAATATAATGTGGTATCGATTTTTAAAGTTTTTCAGAGACAATAAGTTTCTAAAACATAAAGTTTAAAAAAAAATCAAAAATGCGTTCAAAATACAAAATGTAAATTGTAAGTACTGTTTATCATGTTTTTTTAATGGTTTAATTTATGCATTTCAATAATAATATAATGACATATCAAGTACATAATTATACTATATAATACTAACTGATAGGTAATCACTAATAATTTTAATGATATATTAATATATATATATTATACACAAATACTTGTGAATTAGATTCCGTTCAGTCAATCGAAAGTTACTACATCGGCGTACAAACGGAAGCAGTATGGAAAATTGGCCAATTGCCAATCAGATAAGTTTGATAATTGAAATAAATTCCATATAGGTGTATGTATATTTTAAAACCTAATTAATTTTTCGAATAGTCATACATATTTTCTTTCCCATTGATATATTCAGGCCCGGACTGAGCCACTGTGTTACGGTTTTATATCACAGAAAGTCTTCAATTTTATAGTAAAATACTTGAACTTTTTTATATTGTATCTATGGGTCACCTGCTTATTGAGAATAATAGGCCGGTATCCTCCCCGCCTGAGCCTGGATATATTCAATTATATACTAAAATGTTTATAAAAAAAACCATCCCAATTATACAGTTTTATTTGAAATAAATTAAAAAATATAGACCATTGTCTACTATTGTTAGTAAGATATTGTTTTATATGTCCATGTTGTATAATTTTTAATAATATTTTTCCTTGTGATCAAAAATCACTATTATTTCTTTAACTTAAAAAAAAACCTTTTACAAACTAATTTTCAAATTATTTATTATAAAATAAATATATTATAATAGTTTACTACACTATACTAATTAAATGTCCACTTAAATTAGCAAATCATCTCTTCAATCATAACACATAATAGTAGCTAATAATACAGGAAAAAATATACATTGCTTTAACTACTTAATTAACCTTGAACAGAATGACAATCCTAAGTTAAACAGTATTATTGAACCTAACTTTAAAGAACAGTTTGTTAACCTTTAATAATATAATGCGATTAAATCAAAATTAGAAAAAAAATTAAAATAGATTGTCGATATTATATCTAAGATAATATAAAAATGTAAATATTTTTTACAACACTGTAAGTAGAGTAAATATCAAAATAAACTTTATTTATATTATTTTAATTTTTTTTATAAGACGTTCTGTTAAGCAAATTGAAATACGTGTATTCATACCATATTATATAAGTAGGTTTAAATGTAACTATAACTATTTAAAATAAATAATTTTAATTATTCAAATATTGTAAATTATGTAATGATAAAATAAATCGTATTTTTAGTAAACAAACTAGTATACAATCTTTAAATAGTTTTAAAAAAAATATTAAAATTTAAAAATATTCTGGAATTTTATTATTATGAGGACATAATGATGCTTAATATAAACATTATTGTTTATAATTGTGATTAGTATTCAAGGTTGGTAAAAATTAATGCAATATGAACTATATTTGTATGTATATTTAAAAATACTTGGCTTCAATTCAAACGCGTATTATTTGTATATTTCGTATATTGATGAGATGGTCATAATCGTATAATGGACTATAACATGATCAATGTTACATAATTTAAGTTACTGATTGGCTTATAACATATCATTTTTAGAAATTTTTGAGATGAATACATTTTTTAAAATTTTATCAATAATTAACTTTTGTTTGCCACAACAATTTAGTAATATCTCTTAAGTTTGACATAAACATCTATTTCAGCATCTCTTTTAACTAATGGAAGTATTTTATAAGTTGTACAATTAAAATATAAGTAAGGATTTCGTAATTTATTTCTTAGAGTTAACGCTTCTTCATTGGTTATACTCGTATTTAGTTCTGTTTATACGATTTATTACATGCTATATTTCTTGTATTACAGCCGTGTGTAGCGTAATTAAATCAATAATGCTTATCTCTAATTTTTCTTTGGTCATAAGCTTATTAAAATAATAATTGCTGGAATTATTAAGTAAACTTAAGGGACCAAATTTTAAAATATTTAATTTTTTTTGTGAAATTCAAAGAAGTTATTTTAATACAAATAATTAATGAGAGGATATATATTTTTTAATATTTATGTTAATATATACATTGAAATTTGAATGAGTGGTTTCGGAGTTAATAAATAATGAATACTTAAAGATATATTTTGTAATAGGTTTAAAACATTAGGCGCTAAGATGTTTTTGAAACTATAGTTAATAATATTAATAATTTGTAAAAATTGTCCGATAAGATCAAATAATAGACTAAATATTATATAATTTCGTATAAACCTATTATTAAGGACTGTTATGCTTATATCAGTTATATCGTTTTGATGTTTATAAATTTTATATAATATTGAGATATATATATAGATAATTAGGTTCTTATAATTTTTTTTAATAGCTGTTCTATTCTAAATTTTAAAATAGACTCAAGTACCTACTATAACTGAACAAATGAGTATTGCGAAATAAAACATTGCGTGTATATGTACATGACGTAGCTTGTGAAATGTAAATTAAGGACCACATCAACGGTACAGGCGATTAGATTGAGCTCAATTTTTTATGATTATGAGACCCCCAAATAAATATATATTTAAATAATTTATATTTGAATAAGTATTACATATTATAATATCTACAATTTATAAATATTAGATTCAAAAATTTTACTTGTTTGTCATAATGTAATTATTTTGTTTCCTTTTTAATAAGATTATTCATGTATATTGTATATACACGTTGAAGCTATAAATATGTAAAGTAGACTTGATAATTTACTAAAATGAAATCATTTAAACATTTTTATAAATAAAACTAACTTTTTCCTGACAATAAATTTGGATATATTTTATATAAATTAAATTATAATTGATAAAATGTATTTATTAAAAGCTATTTTTATTTTTATTTTCCATCATTATAATTATATTCGTGAAATTAATTGACTATTCATACAATTTATTTCTAATATATTTTCAAAATAAATATTATAACATTGCATTACTCATAGTTTGTTTTTATTTACGAAAAGTTGTAATTACAATTATATTTTTTTACTGCAAAATTATATTATTTAAGTGTAAATAAAATGTTCGATAAAATCAAACAATTTTACAATAGGATCAGATAATTAATATTAAATAAAATACGATATGTAATGTTCATACATCGTATAATCTTTGGTTCGGCTTAACGAAACGAGAATGTTCGATTTGAATTTAAAAACAGTAATAGGAATGCTCTGAGACATTTATAAACTGAAGACGAGTATGGCAATTTGCGAACATAATATTCCATTCAATAAATATAGAATGTTATAAGATACTATATAAATTATAATAATTCCTTTTATGTTTAGAGCAGTGTTGTAGTGAACTTGAAACTGTTCAGAGACAAATCTAATATTCCACCCACCTGCCTACCAAAACAACAACAAACGCATATTAACTATTTTATTTTTGGCCACCTACCTGATTTATAGTTAATACCAAAATACTAGTTTTTACAAAATTATTACCTATTGACCAATGACCATATTATGCCTATCCACCCACCAGCCCTTAAAAAAAAGTCATATACGGCTGCTTTGCCACGACACGAGTAATAACATATACCTAATACAAGTTTATGATTATCGAATCCCATATGGTCGAGTACAGTCAGGTGCTAAAATATAACAGTTTAATAATAATTGATAACGAACATAAAAAAAAAAAAAAAAAACCCCTCGTGTGATATAATATATATATATATAGAAAAAACAAACGTACTTACAAAATACACTTTATTGATAAATTTGCTTATTTTTGTTTACATAGTATTACCGTAAGCACGTAATAAAGATAGATACAGATTTTAATAAACAGATGAAAATACAACACAGAAGAAATTAATATCGTAATATGTTCAACTCGTCTCCGCCGGCGAAACGCGACGCGGGAGCGACATTTCTCGGGGACGAGCGCCGCCGAGTTATGTGCACGCGCGGCAGGACGCCTTTTTCGGGCACGTCATTTTACTTGCGGACGAACGGAAAACCGTATTGGCCGTTGTAGGCGTACTGGCCGTACGAGTACGGAGTGTAGCCAGCGCTGTACGGGTACTGTTGGTAACCGTACGGGTACGGCTGGTAGTTGTACGGGTAACTGGCGTAGTAAGGCGCTACCGGTGCGACGTACGGGACGGGTGCGACGGCGGGTGCGACCACCGGGACGACGGCGGGCTTGATCACCGGGGCGACCACCGGGGCGGCCTTTGCGACGACCGGCACGGCGGCGGCACCGCTGACCGGTTCCCGGACGACTTCGGCGGTGAACCCGTTGACGGCGTCCGCCTTGTACCTGACCGTGCGCAGGAAACCGTCCGAGTCCACGGTCCGGTAGTAACCGGTAACGTCGTCGCCGTTTCTCGTCTCCTGTTGGTCCTTTTGGTCGCCGGTGGTCGGGTCGTTGACCGCGTAGCTGAAATCGTATTGAGCCGGTGCGGACGGCTCGTCGATCGCGGCGGCGTGCGCCAGGCAGGCTGCAAAAGCCACGCACAGGAAACTCACAGTCTGAAACGAACGAATTGACGGGACGTCGTGAGACACAGAAATACGAATAAGGCGTTAAACCGCCTACACGGACAGTTTGCAGTGTTCGTACAGTTTTGTATATCGCACCGCGGCCAGGACGAGATCGAGAGATCCGAGAGTACCAAAGCCGGCGCGATATAGGTACGTGGCGAAATGATAAAAATATCGTTTCAACGTCGAGACGTTTCGACCGAGAACTGTACGAACACTGCGGAGTAATTCTAATTAAAAAACACTTACCTTAAGCCCTTGCATTGTCGGTTGAGTGTGTTTTGCAGATGTGACTACCCGGTGAACTGCTAAATGCTCAATGCGGCTGCGAATGCGTGTACAAAACTTTAAGTAACCACAGTATATATAGTCGTGTTTACCCCCACGGGTGAATATAAATACGTATGTACACGATAAATCCAGACGACCTTGAATCATTGTTATGGAAGAAGCCGGGTGAATCTCATATATATAGTTCTTATGAGAATCCGGTATGGACCAAAGATGTGTCGCGTGCACGGTAAAAAATGATAAAAAAAAAAAAAAAAAAAAAATGAAACGATTTCATTCGAGTAATATTCCATCGATTTTTTTTTTTTAACTTGTGGGTGTTTGATACGTTATAAATTCGTGACACAGAAGAAAAAAACTTTGTTGTCTGAATAATTAATAATGTTTAAACACACCTTTATATAGCTACGATATATATTATACAATAAAGTTATAATATATAGTTAAATCATTTATGAAATAGATTTTTTTATTCACATGAGTTGCAACTATTATATAATAGACTACTACTATTATATTATTACCTAGACCATTATTGGTATTAAGTATAATAATAGCTCAAGTATCAAATCAAAAATTAACATTATTGTGATCAAATGAGTTAGGATGTTTGTGAGATTTAAACAAATTTTCTTTTAGCAGTGGACAAGTAGACAAAATGAAAAATTCCGTTGAATGTCAATTAAATAATTTATTAATTATATTTATCGTAATTAAAATTTTGTTTTGATTATTTCATTTCAACTTTAAAGATTTATGGTTAACGACTAATTTGTATTACAAAAATGTAGTTTTAAATAAATTATATGATTAAAATAATAATAATAATAATATCTGTTTTACATTTTTTTAAACATGAATTAACATTGACAGTATTGATTAATTATGTTTTCTAATATTGTCTTCTATTGTCTATTTTACTAAATAATTATTTTCAAGTGGGCCACTAAGTATAAAACAACGATTTACCACAACTCAGCATATTATTTATTACATACTTATATCACTATGCATATAGTACACACATAAAGGCTTTTTTCCTTATCTTTTGAACATAATATTATAGTAATCGATAATTTTATATTTTTTAATATTAAAAAAAAAAAAAATGTAATGGTCCATAAATGGACCGCGAACCACATGTTATCATCATGTGGTCCTATTGGTATAGATGAAATATACGCCGCAATTCACTTGATAATTGATTACTTTGGACATTTAAAATTTGATAAAAAAATAAAAATAAAATATTAAAGGTAAAACAAGTCTGAATATTTTTAAAAGTACCTTGAATGTGTAAATTGATTTTTTAATGAAAATCCAGTTTTTACATAAATGGTAAATTTATAAATGACCTCGGGGTGTTAATAAAATATCGTTCATTTTTTATATATAGTACATTCTGTTATTTGGGTTAAAGAGTAGGATCTTATTATGCACATTTTAGGAATACTAACTATGCATCATAAATTCATAAAATATAAAATAAATATTTATATATAGCATATTACTGTCAATAACCGTGACTGACAGAGATGGTTTTCTAAAACAATTTGTATTTATCAATTAAAATAAAAATAGTACTTTTAATCGGGGAAGATAAAATACAAGCAGTCAAACCATTTATATGAAATCTTGGAAACTCAAATTAAATAAAATTAACAAATACAATAATACATATTTCAATAACAAATGGAACATTATAAAATTAATTCAAATAAAATAATTTTTAAATTATTAATTATAAGTAGTTAATAATAATTAATAACTATCATTGTTAAAGCTTTTGAAAACTCTTGAATTTTCAAAAATAAATAGGGAAAAAGAAAAAAAAGAAAATAAGTAAAAATTTAAAATGTTTATATATATGCATATATATTACAATAGTTTTTAACAAAATAGATTTTGTTTCTTTTGACGTAATTCAAGAACAAGTACACAATTAGATTTTTAACACTCACCAAAATATAATTGTGTTTGAATTTTAAACGTCATATTTTTAAATAATGGAACTTTTTATAGTTATTTTTACAGAAATCTAATAATCTCGAAAATGTGGAATTTTATTTTGTAAAGATATTTTAAGTTCAATTATCTACGAAATTGGATATTTAAGTATAAAATAACGATTCTAGTTATTTTATTGTTATTTAATAAATAATATTCGTAAATAATTTAATACTAAATTTAAAAATATTTAAAACTTATTCATACCTTTTTTAAAGTTCATCGGTATTGATATATAAGTTAATAAAAGATATAAATATTATATGAAATACTTGTAATATTAAAATAATTATTTTTATACATATAGGTCATAATATTTTTTTCCCTAAAAATTAGTTAAATTTAATTACTTGTAGTAATAAATATATATAAAATAAAATATTCATAGAAATATATGTCAATATAGATTGTCTCCATCCAGAAACGTTTTTTGTGTGCAATGATATCCGAATACCTACCCCTAATGATAAGATATTCTCAATACCGTTTATACTCAAAACAGTATAACAACGACTGCTACTAATCTTGAACATACGATTAATTCTTTTTTTTTTTTTTTAAATTTAGTATTCTAATAATTTATTTTTTATTTTATTATTTTTATCAGAAATCTACAATTTGTGCTCCAAGGCACAATAAGATTTATTTTCAGAGTTCAGTGGGGGGGAGGGGGATTTTCAGGGATTGTGCGAGTAGCTAAATTAGTATCTAATAACAAATAAAAACAAACTATTATAAATATTGTATAATAGCTACCATGTATTAGGAAATTGTGACCTAGCTTTTATTTCAACAATATTATTTCGATTGATATTTAATACTGTTAAGATAGAAGATAAAATTACACTATATTAGGTAAATACCTACACTATTCGTATTCTATTGTTTTGTTTCTATACTTTCAGTGAAGAAAAAATAGTTCTGTAATTAATATATTACTTTAATAATTTAATAACCTTAAAATGATTATATTTTAAAAAGTAAATTTAGAAATTTTAAGACAACATACATTTTAATATTTTATTAATATAATAAATTTTAAATGTGTTTGAGAATAAATCCTTAATATAATAAAACTATTACGTAAGACTATGAGTTCTTATTTTAATATTTAAATATATTTGAATCATAAATATATACCCACAAATAATTTACTTGAAATATAATTTTGGTTTAGTGAATATATTTTTAGAAAAAATATTCAATAGTATTCTACAAAATATTTCAAACTAAATATCAAAATATTTAATAAACTTATCAGTAAAGTAACAAAATATGTAAATATCAATAACTATTTTTCAAATATTTAATATTTTAAATAAAATACCACAAGTAGAATAAATGAATAAGTTTATTGTTCTTAAAAAAAAAACATGTTTTTTTCAAGATCGCTGTTTTTTAATGTAATTTTACTAAAAACTAAAGTAGTTATTACATAATAATGATAAAAATAAAAATTGTCATAAAGTAAGTATATCATCAAGTCGATTTTACGAGGGCTTTAGGTGTATGTTTTTGTGGTATATAGTCATATTGTGCAGGAGCATCGTACAAACCATATGTATGTGCAGCGTTGTAGTACGGGTTTGGATGTCGAATAAACATATTCATTTTGTATGGGTGTTGGTAGGTTGTATACGTTTGACCATCGACAGACTTAACGGATCTCAGTACGTTTTGCCCATAGACGGGGTAGTTATATGGGACGTTGTAGTAAGTAGTATCCTGGTAGTTTGGCGACGGATAATATTGTCCGGTATGTTGCGGTGGATACAATCCTTCATATGATGGTGAGTTCTGCGCTACCAAGTATTGTGCAGGACGTTGGCCTTCGTGTTGTGGTGGATATAAAGGTTGTTGCTGTGGCGGATTCTGCACTTCTTGTTGTGGCGGATTCTGTACTTCCTGTTGCGGCGGATTCTGTACTTCCTGTTGTGACACTACAGGAGGTTGTCCCTGTTGCTGCGGTTCAGGGTACTGCACTTCTGGCTGCGGTGGATACTGAATTTCTGGCTGAGATGGGTACTGAACTTCTTGCTGAGGTGGATACTGCACTTGTTGCTGTGATACTGCAGGTGATGGCGTAGGGAGTAGCTCTGTATCATGTGTAGTAACTTCGGTAGAAACGGCATAATTGATAGGAACAGCAAAATCGATCGGCAAAGAAGATTCGATTGATGGAATGGCACCGTTAAAAATGGAATGATGTTTTTTAAACGGGAGGAGTTTGCAATTAAAAATACGTTCTTTCAACGATTTCTTCTCGGCGCTGATCAAACACACAATTACGGATACCAACACGATGGCCTAAAAAATATATATAAATATATCAAATATATAGCATATTAAATTTCTATAGGTTATGATAAAATAAATAACCTTCAAACAAATATTTTATAATTTGGCCCAACGAGACGTAGGTACAACAAAACACGTAAAACTGTTATTTTTTGGTTAAATATCAAAGTTTATTAAAAATTTTAAATTACTGTAAGAACTTTTTAAGAGGGATCTTTAACAACATTTTCAAACCTAGGAATATAAATTAAACGTTTTATGAATTATTAAATAATAAATACTAAATAATTTACACATTTTCGTAATTTAGACGGATTCCATAAAATATTTTAGTTTAAACATTATTAACATGCATTGATAATTTCTAAAATAGTGTACAGTTTTAATTGTAAATAGTTATCATACAAAGTTCCAAAATATTTTGAAAATAATACCATAAAATAAGCTAATTCAAATATTTGTACAAAATGTCAAGTTTATATGAAGTGTAGTTATTAATTTTTGAATCATAAAAAATATAAAATAATAAATAAAAACAATGGAAAAACGAGAATATTTATTTAAAAAACAATAGTTATTATCAAAATCGATATTTTTTTTATAAAACTACATCATGTTGTTGATAATCAAAATTTTCAATTATTATTGTATTATAACATAGTATAATTTTCAAAAAAGGTTGGCTCTTTTTTTTTGATTCAAAAGACATTTGAAATATAAAACTTTTATTTTAATTATTCCTTGAATTATACTAATTAGCTCAACAATATTTTTAAATCAAATAACTTAAAAGTTTAAAGTAAAATATACCTCATAAGTTGTTTTTTTTTCAAAAATTAAAAGGCATTAAAAATATAAAGTCATATTTATTTAAGAGTTTAAAGTTCAAATTTTTCTAAAATTGGCTATTTAAACTTATTACTTTAACAATTTATTCTCAAACGACTTTTGTAAATAAAAAATTATTAACAATAAAAACTTTGAACACTTCAATATTATTAATATTATTATTTTTCATACACAAATTTAAAGTATTCAGATTGATTTTAGGTTAGATTTGACTTAATATACATTTAAAATTAATATTTATTTTAGATTTTTTTTTTTTTTTTTTTAATAAATAAAAATAAATGTGTTTTTTTTTTTTTGTCAAAAAGTTTTAAAATATAAATTAAGGTTTCTCCTGCGTTTTTGATTTGGCAGTTGTAAAATATAGGAAATATACAGGTATATATTTGTTTATATCTTTATTTCAAATTTTTACATAAATATGCAATTTATTTTGTAGGTAAAAATATACATTTAATTTTAATACCCTAGGTTTGAATATGTAATATAAAATGTTCTTATAAGAATAGGGAAGTCCTCATAAAAATAAGGAAAAAAAATTAATTGAAAACTACATTAATTTTTTTTGAATGTTTGATCATAAATCGAATATTTTTACAAAAAATTACAATTTCAGTTACTTTCTATTGTAATTAAAAAAAATATTAAATACAAAAAATTGAAACTTTTAATCATTAAATGTATTATAATTATTTATAATGAAATAATTCAATAGAGCAATCAGTAGATATTTGAATTTCATAGCTGTATAATTATTATACTTAATCTTAACCTATCATTTATAAACACTTCACAAATATTTTCACATATTAATACTGTATAAATCATACTTATTAAAATTTAAATATTTATATGTTAAGTTAATCATTTTCCCAAAATTCAAAATATTAAAATACAGTAAAAACAAAAAAATATGATTATTTTATATGTATATAATTATAAAAATAATATGTACTTACTTTGAAATACACCATGATGATTTTTTCTATAGTTAAACCACTTTTAATTTTTGACTATTATAATCAACCAGCAGCCGGAACGAGAAATAGAAAAAAAAAACTAAACACTGAAAGCGAATTACGGCCCTTTAAGTAGAAACATATAGGCTATTAATTTCTTCTTACGTTAATGATTCTTAAATCACCTACTGTCTAGACTGCAGCGACATCATTTCGTTTTTCAAATATTTTGGTCTTAATTTTTAAAATATTTGCTGCGAAAGGGAAATTAATTGTCAATCGAATATTCTATTAGAATATTAGCACAATGAATACTATCATATAATATTTTGTATACAAAATAGTTTTTTATTATTATATTAAAATTTTAAATACTAATAGAATTTCTTCAAATAAATAAGTTATGCATATTATTAGAAGGTACATCATATAGGTAAGCTATTTTGTTGTAGGTAGACAATTTATATTACAAAGAACAAATCTGTTAAAATTGACTATGAATCAGAAATTAATCAATAGATTTTCTGCATGAAACATTATTTTTTTTGTTTATTTATTTGATTTTAATTTTAAATATAAAATAATAGTAAGTAAATTATTTTTTATTTTTGATCATCACACATTTTATTCTGTTTTAAATCATATTTTAAGGTTTCTAAAAATAAAGTCTTGTTGTACCAACATAATAAATACTTTTTAAATTAAATTAAATATTTTCATCTTTACGTTCATAATTTAACAATAATAGAATATGTTATATGCATAATCATATTGTTGAAAGTTTTTCTGAATCATAACGTTTACAATTAAGTATATTATATCTACATCGAGCTATATGTCATTTCAAAAATTAAAATAATGATATGTAACTTTGATAAATTATAATATACCTAATAAGAATATATATTTTAATTATTTTTATCGCACACTTAAAAGGATATTCTGATTTCTAAATATTATTATTGATAAAATATTGTTGAAGTATATGAAAACTTTTCGCAATAAATATATATAAATAATAAAATAAAATGTTACTTGTAATTAGTTATTTAACCTAAGTTATTTATAATTAAATACAGTCCAGATATAAGCTATATATGCCTATGTATATATATATTATTATTTGTAAATTATAATCAAAATAATAATATAGATTATAATGTATAAGTTTTTAAATTAATTTATCTCAATAGGTAAAGCTTATGGCAAATATTAGAATGTTTTATATTGTATGGAAATATATTTAAAAAAAAAAACTGGCTTGCGTTAATAATTTTAATATTTTTTATGTACTCATCTCAAAAAAACCTCACCTATATTAATAGTTGTGTAATATTAAACGTATATTTTTAGGTACATTATACATAATAGAATATATAAAAATATAATTTAGATCTTGAATAATAAAAAACGTGTACATTAATATAATATTATGCAAACAAATATTGCAGAGCACATCTTAAAAAGTGGATCTCCTCGATATGGCATTTTCTCAAATAAGCGATTACAGAAAAAAATGAGATACATTTGATGTATTATGCATTATATAATTTGATATATTTCATATTATTATTTATTATATTCATAAAAATAATAAGTTTTTAATACTTTTTTTGAGTAATTAATTATTACTAATACCAGTAATACATATAAGAAAGTTAATATAAGTAATCATTTAACTTTGTACACAAAATTGTCTTATAACTTTACATTACAGACAATTATTATTAAAAACTATTTAATTAAGAAAGATACGCATTGTAACCTATATATACCATAAGTGACTATAATAAAAATAAATTTGATTTAGTTGTGTTAGAAATTATTATTTGAAATTAAATTAAAATTAACAATTTAGATATTATTATTAAATATACTAATCATAAAATACATGACTTTCAAAAATAAAATTCCCCAATAAAATAGCATACTTGTAAAAAAAAACAAAATTTATCATATATAAGTTATAAACAGGAAATTTTTTAAAGATTAAGCTTATCATGAAAGTAAAACCATTATGTTGGTTATAGTTAGTATAATAATTATACATTTAAACCTATAGGTTAATAGTAAAATATCTAATTAACTGAATGCCAATAAAACTCTAACGCGAATACAACGGTAGAACGATTCTTTTCAAACTGTAGACTAAAAGTAATCATTATAAAATATTATAGTAAAAATCAATAATAGTAAAATCGTAAATGAATGTTGCGTCAATATTGAATAATGGACAATACCTTAAAGTCTTACAAACAATAGATATTTCATACATTTTTATAAGTACACGAATCTAAAATCTACAAATTCGTATAATTAATAAAAAAACCTGTACATGAAAATTAAATATTTCAAGTAAATATCAGACATTACTGCTAATACTGATAAATAAATAATTTTATTGTTTCAATTTTATAAAATAATGAAATAAACAGGAAATCATTAAATTATTTTAGTTTTCTAGTTACTGATAATTGTAATTAAATTGATATTTTTTTTAGTAAATTAATATTAATATACTCGTATACATAGGTATAATGATTATAAATATTAATGAATGCATTTTCTGTACAATATTTAATAATAATACATTTTAAATGTTTAATTCTGTTTAATGACAATATATCTCTTAAAAGAATGTATCCCCAATAAAATAAAGTTGTTAGGAAATAACTGATTGTGAGTTCGTTAATATTTCTTTATTTATAGTTTAGGACAATATACGATATGCATTTACGGGTATTAATAAATATGATTTAACTAATGGTTTCTACACTTTATAGTAATAAGTATTTGCAGAGAATTTTGGCATCATAAAAGAAAAGCATAATGATCTAAACTTCTTAATAACGATTTATGCCTTTTAGGTGTATCTACACTATTCCATCTTTAAAGTTTGATACACTAATGATTGAATTCTTAATGTGCCTGAACAAATGTGTCCTTCACAAGTGGCAGTGTTTAATTGATGAAGCCGTTTTGTAGTGGGCAAAAAAGAATGTTGTTTTTTATTATTTTTTATACTTAACAAATCCTAAAAAAACCAAAATCAGGCATTCAACACATGTTATGTTAGTTACAAACTAACTAAGAAATAAGACTGGTAAGAATTTAGGATCAACGACCAATTCATTGTTTAAGATAGAATATTTTATAGAGCTAAGTTTACTAAACAATATTTAGATATACAATTTTAAATTATACAATATAATGCAATATGTACCATTAACACATAATATTATGCAAACTATGTAAAATAATGAATAGATTCCACCATAGTAAAAATTGTAAGCAGTTATTAAATAAACGAGGAATATCAAATTATTTTTACTAAAATAAAATATGTTATCAAATTATTTATTTTGCGACATCATGCTATATACTGAATGTTAAATTATATATTAAAATTTGGATTATTTAAATATAAATTTCAAATTGTTTAAAATTAAATGGAAAATGTCAACTATAAAATTAATTTTAAAAGTTAAATTACTTTCTCGTGCTTAAATGAGATATTATTACAAATAAAATGTATAGCTTTAAAGCAATATACCAAGAAAAGTTTTCATAAATAATTTAAAAACAAAAACAATACATATTTTTTCTTAATATTTAACATTTATAACTTAACTGAGAACAAAAAAATATATATATATATAAATATTTAAATGTAATTTGAATAGTTCAAATACCAAATAATAAAACATTAAACAATGAATATTAATTTTTTAAACAAAGAGTTTGCATTAAATAGTACTAAATGACTTTTAAAAAATTATAATATATCCATATAATAAGTAAAATCAAAATCAAAAGAATGAAAATCCATTTTAGAATAAATCAATCATTAAATAATGAATAAGTGTTATTTTTAAATATTAACTGTTAATAAATTTTTAATTTCTTAAACTAACGGGAAATATCTGCGAACCAATCAACTCCTTCAATGTTTACATATAGGCATCATAATAAACATAACTAGGTATATAATATGAAATAATTTTGCGTTTGATCTTGGTAACTTTTGTAAAAAAAAAAAAAAATAAAATATACGAAATGAATGATAATTGATCATAAATATTAACTTATAGCTGACTACTAAAGGAAATTTATTCAATTATTTTACATATAATTAAAATAATAAATTCTATTCATAATTTCATTATTAACAAATGTTTATGCAAAAAAATTCAAATTTTATACTTTGAGCGATGCGATAATTAACAATTTTAGTTATTTTGTTGGAATTCAAATATAAATATACTCGTAAAGTCTTGAAATCATTACGTATATTATAACACTTTCAAAATATTTAGATCAATTTTAATCTAATGCATATTTAAAGCATACTACTTATAGTAAAACAAATTATTATAATAGTAAAAAATAAATATAAATACTGGTAGAAAATCTCGGTTTAGAATCGTTTTCGTATGTAAAGTTTTATCGATTAATTGAATTGAGAATTTAATATGTCAACTATAGTGATTTACTCGACGACAATAGACGAAGAATACTCAACTCCAGCAGTAAAACAGAATGGTTACATACTCGCCAACTTTATTACTTTAATAAACTTGTTTATTTATTTTTAATTGTAAAATAAAGTTCTCATACCTAGTTTTTAAAACCTGTTAACATTTTTACGTATTTAAAGGAAAATATCACCTACAAATTACCTTAATTCATACTATTAGTTAGCAGTTTACTTTAGTTTACGATTCTACATTTCAATATGCTTAGTTTTTAATTAATTAAGATTATATATCTTTAAATTGGTGATTATATAAAAATTAAACTGGCTTTTATTTTATAATTGTTAAAAAAAAAAGAAAAGAAAAAAAAAGTAGTTATTAACATCAAAATGTCTGCACAACAATCTAGTAAAACAGGAAATACATTTAGAAAAGTAGACTATTGATTCAATTAGAATTGCATTCCTGCTAGTAATAGTGATCTCTTACTTAATTGGAAAAATAATATATTTTTACAAACTTACAATAATGAACATAATACACTGCGCTGATTAAAATTAAAATTAACTACCTATTATTAGTTTTTTTTTTAAATAATTTAAAATAAACGTTCAAACATAGTAAGTATTAGA